TACAAAAAGTTTTAATTTTACACCTTTCTGGATTACTCCTAGTCCCAGTAATTCAGATTCAGAAGTGCCATGATGGTTTAAAAAAAAAGGAGAAAAAAGAATATGATGAGTTACAAAGAACTGAATTATCAAAGTTAATGACAAGTTTATGACTAGGAAGTAGTTACTTCAAGTTTGTATCATTGATCTTTTCAAGTTTTCTCTGATAGCTGTTGAGAACCTATTGAGAGAGGCCTATTGGTAAGACACATCCACAGTGAGGAAAAACACAAGAAATTTTGCATCTAAATATTTCCACTGTAGTTTAATTATAACATTTCTTTCTGTTTGGGAAATAGAGTAAGCAGGTTTGGTGTTTTTTTTTTTTTAATATATGTGCTACAGTCCATGTTATCATCAGACACTGCTGTGTTGGCATAATGATAGTCGTAGCTTGAGCGTCACACCAGCTACGTATGGTGGGTCCTCTGAGTTTATAGATCTCTGAGCTCTGGCCAAACCAGCAACTCAGTGACATCGAGATAGCAGTCGTTCCTTCCATGGCTGACTTCTGCGAGTTGGGGAATGGGACAGTGTGGATTGAGAGAAGTGTGAATCAGCCGAGGCAAGAGCAAAAGATCTTAGTCACATGTTGTTTAATAGTGTTTTCAAGGAAATGATAGGTCCTTCTGAATTGATAGTTGATTAATGTAGAAACAGAAGATCTTTAAGACCAATAAAATTGAAGTGATTGAACTATTTTTATTTTTTACTTTATTACCAAAGGCCAGATTTTTTGTGGCCAAGGTGCACAACATGCAAGCCACTGCCAAAGTGTATGGCTTACTCTGTTAGCAGTCTTAGCAAACATGTCGAGAATTGCAGGAAGATTTGGTCAGGAATATTTTTTTTAGCATTCAAGCTGATAAATTAGCAAGTAAATTCAGACTGTCCTACTCTGACATTGCACAGTAGCCATATTTAATTGACCATTTCCATGAAGGATTACTGCTGTCTAACAAGACGTAGCTTTCAGTTACTGGACACTGTAGACTTTGAGAACTTCTAATGCAAGGTATTTTTGGTATTTTCACCAGAGGAATTTTCATAGTATGTGTATGTAATGAAATACAGGAACAATGAAAAACAGAAATAATACAGAAATTGAGTGTTGAGGAAGGTTGCCGTTTCATGTCAGTGAATAATGCTGTGGGCTGATGGGGCTGGGAGAGTATTTGGCGGTTTGGGGAACTGTTGGGGCTGGTGTTGTAGGCCACCTAGCCTCGTCAGACTCCCACTGCTGGATCATCCCGCGGTTGCAATCCTCAGGGCCCCGTTACGGAAGCTGTTCACTCACGCTGCGCGTCACGAAAACAGGACCGCTGCTTCCCGAGGCGACGGTGGAGGACCGGGAGCTGGCTCCCCACCTTGGCTCCCTGCTCTTTGCCCTGTGTGGGCAGACACGCGTCCTCTTAACGTCTTTGGAATTGTATCGCTTTGCTGAAACGATGAGGCACAAAGAACAGTACAGCAGGAAGCCGTGATTGGAGGGCTATTGGCCCTTTTCTTTAGTTACACCCTCCCCACAGATCTCCCGTGGGAGTGTGTGAGTCTCACCCCACGGCAAACTGATGAAAATGCCACTCTGGGGGCTGATCGCCCCCTTTAATTAAATTTTTTTCAGCTTCGTTGTTACTGAGGGCGGCCGGTCGGCTCCAACAGGCTCCCGCGGCCACCTC